CGGCCAGCCCCAGCAACCTGCACGCGCCAGTCCCAACTCTTTTCTGCGCCCCGGGATAGTTTCTCCCATGCACTGCCCCTGGTGCCCAGTGCCTGGCCCAGCCAATGGAGCCCTGGGGAGCGCACGTCCCTCCCCGCGGTGCCCCCACGCCCGCTCGCACTGCCAGGTGCAGGGCTGCGACCAGTGGGTAGGAGGCGCCCTCTAGAGGCCTGCAGCGAACACTGCTCAGGGGGGCTCCCCACCTGCGTCCTGTGGGCACAGCCCTGCGGGACCCTGGGCACAGGCCAGCAAGCCCAGGTGCAGCACAAAGCCAGCGTGAGCAGCAGCTTCTCCACTCCTGCCCTGGCAGCTCCGCCGCTCCAGCCTCAGCCGGGGACCAGCCCCCAGCCCAGCTGTCATCGGCCCCTGTATATTTGCACTGTCATGTTGCATGTGAGTCTGACGGCCCAGCCCACCACGCTGTGTGCCTCGGTTTCCCTGGATACTGAATCAGTGTTGAGGTGGGGGGAGCTGGGCCAGCACCCCAGCTCTCATTGGCCTGCAGTTGTGCCCAAGGGGACCTGTGGAATACATGTTATGTGCGCTGGGTGCCTGTGTGGATGTGTACCACCAGCAGAAACACAAACCTAGCTGGGGGCACCTGCTAATCGCTGGTGGCGCTGGCCTCCCCAGTCTCCTGCCCCAGACCTGAGCCCCCTCCTGCACCCCAAACCCCTCATGCCTGGCCCCACCCAATAACGGTGTGTGAGGGTGGGGGAGAGCAAGTGAGCGGGGAGGGCATGGAGCCTCGGAGACAGGGGGCAGGGTGGGCAGCGGGGACACAAACCTAGCTGGGGGCACCTGCTAATCGCTGGTGGCGCTGGCCTCCCCAGTCTCCTGCCCCAGACCTGAGCCCCCTCCTGCACCCCAAACCCCTCATGCCTGGCCCCACCCAATAACGGTGTGTGAGGGTGGGGGAGAGCAAGTGAGCGGGGAGGGCATGGAGCCTCGGAGACAGGGGGCAGGGTGGGCAGCGGGGGTGGGTTATGTGTGACTGGAAAATTGGCAGCCCTGCCCCGTTCTGTGGGGCTGGCAGCTCCAGAGCCCCCGGCTGGGCCCAGCCCCCACTGTGCAAGGTGCTGCACAAACCCAGAGGTGTGGCCCTGGCTGCCTGGCCGGAGCTGAGCCTGAGCCAGGCCCAGGTGTCTAGGTGGGCGGTGCTGAGGGGCAGGCAGAGGCTGCTGGGCTCCCAGCGGGTAGTCTCCGGCCTACCCGGGCTGGGCACAGGGTGACCACATGGTCCCTTCTGGCTCGAGAAGTGACAAGCACAGGCCAGGCACCTTGGCCGGGCGGGGCTGGGAGGCGGTGGCTGGGGATGCCCATCCCTGGGGAGGCCGCCTGAGCTGTGTCCCAGGCTCCCTGCCAGGCCGGGCATTGCGGGGTCCAGAGCAGACAGCTGCTTGTGCCCTTGGCCCCCCCAACATTGCTCTGGGGCCCCTGGGGAACCCCCAGCTCCTCAGGGCGCTCAGGCCATGCTGGACACTGGGCTCTCTGCCAGTCCCGCTCCCCAGGCCAGCTGCCCCGGGCAGAGCAGCCGTGGACATGCGGCTCTGGCACGAGGGCAGCGGGAGGCTCCAGGCCCCCCTCCAGCGCCCGGCTGGCCACCTGCAGGGCGTGCTCAAAAGCAGCTTGGAGGAGCCAGGTTGTGAGGCAGGTGAGCCTGGTGATGCAGTAGGCTGGGACCCAGGTGATTGGGGTCCCCAGGCTCTCCAAGCGCCAGTAGCAGGTCTGAAGCAGCAGCAGCACGGTCGCCAGCCGCCTCTGGAGTTCCCTCTGGCGAGACAAAGGCAGGCCAAGGAGCCGGCGTCAGCGTGGGCAGCACCACCCCAGCACCCGGCCTGCTCAGGCCGCGAAGCCGAGGAGGGGAGCTCACAAATGCAGCTGGCCAGGCAGGCATGGGGCTAGCCAGGGCCAGGTCTCACAGTGAGGGGGAGTTGGTGGAGGCTGCCTGCGAGACAGGCCTGCTCTGGCGGGGGAGATGGCAGACACAAGGGGCGCCAGCTAACAGGGGTGTGGCAGAGACCCCAGCTTGGGGATTCCCCTGGGCATGGGGTGCCCTGTGTCCCTGCAGCCCCCACTTCTCACCCAGCTCTGCTGCAGCTGTGTCAGCAGGCACTGCTGGCCCCTCTGCCAAGCCTTCCAGCCCACCAGCAGCAGCAGCATGCAGGCCAGCAGCAGGCTCTGGGCCCTGCAGAAGAACTTGTCGGTCCAGAGCTCCAGTGAGAGGTGGATGCAGCTGACCACGTCCTCCTGCGCCTTCCAGACGCGAGAGTACCAGCCGAGCAGGCTCGCCCAGAGAGACTGCAGCAAAAGACAGAAGGGGTTAGCAAACCGTGGCCAACAGCCGCCGGACTCGTGAGCTGAGAGACCACGGGCCCCTGCTCAGAGGCCTGCTGGGGGGTATCCCGTAGGGCAGAGCAGGCAGCGCGCTGGGAACCCAGCAGCAGAAAGGGAAAAAAAATGTGAGTCACATAAAGATGTGGAGAAAAATGAGAGTGAGGAACGGGGCACCAATAGGGGGCACCCACCACCCTGGGAATGAGGGGAGACACACACCCCCAGGGGGCGCCCACCGACCCGGGAATGAGGGGAGACACAGCCCCACCCCAAGGGGGCACCCACCACCCTGGGAATGAGGGGAGACACACACCCCCAGGGGGCGCCCACCACACCGGGAATGAGGCGGGACACAGCCCA